GGTGCGGCGGCGTCAGAGCCACACCGGGCACGCAAACTTGGCTGCATCTCCTCCCCCTTCTGGGATGGCCCTGGCTGCTGAGACCCTTTTACCGGGAAGCAAAATTTCGTGCAGTCGGTAGGCTCTCTAACGCGGCTTAAACTTTGCACTGCTGGATTTTCTGAATAGCCTTATCAGTCTGCGGTTTATGCAGACAACGGTGATAATAAATACAGTGTAGAAAGATGAAGGTATGGTATTTTGCTTCATTACATCTCGCACTTGAGGTTTTGTCCCGTGAAATCTCAGAAGTTCTGCTGTTCTCTTTTTTTGATTGCTTTTTGCAGAAGTGCCGTGTTTGAGTTGTGCTGCATATGTGGGGGTCACAAAGCTGCTGAGGAGTCTAGAGAAGAAAAAGTTCCACGTAAATGCCCTCCATATCTGCTTCCTGAATATGTTCTCGTTTCATGTTAAACGAAAATTAGGCAATGTGCAGTAGCTGGTTAGCTCCTGTATTTCAGACTTTTGAATAGTCGTGTCACTAACTTCAAAGTCATGGTGTTGCCGTAATGAATTAGTCTGTATTTCACAAGTGTGGGCTACATTAAGATCCAGCTTTTGCCACTTTTTTCCACCCTCCTTTCCCATCCTAAGAAAGGTCTGTAAAGCTGGAAAAGCTGCTGGCTTCCACCATGCTGAGGGGATTTTCTCTATCTCTCTCTCGATCTTTAGCTCATAGAACTTTATAAACAAATTCTACAGCTATTGACCAAGTCTTTTTGCAGTACATCAGCTAGCCTTGTTTGCATTTATTTATTGCCTACCAGTATTAGAAGTTATCCTGTCTTAACTTGCATGTGTTGCAACATCTTTCTGTGCTATCTTAATCCTGTAAGTCTTAGTACTAAAAGAAAAAAGGTTCTATTTGTGTTCCTCCCTTTATTTTTAAGTCAGCATGTGTGGCTGCAGAGTTATCAGGAGACTGGTAAATGCTTGTAGTAAACTTTATTTCTTGCTTTCCAATAAGGAATATGTGACCCACTCTCGTTGAAATCACTATTTGGAACCTTTCCATTATTTTTATAATAACTATTGACCTCAAAGTGCAAAAAAAAAACTTTGAACACTAGTGGTTTTCAGACAGCATGGAAGACTCCGTCATATTTTTAAGGGAATTTTCTCCTCAGTTTTTAAATGTCACTAGAAGTTAGTCTGTATCTGTAAGCTAAAGTCTAGTACTGCACTTCATCATAAATTTAAGCTCATAATTGAAACAAAGTAGCTATGCAACTTTTACAGGAACAGGCTCTAATGGTGTTAAATTTTGAGTTTATGCCTATGGAGACTGATCTTTTTGCCTCCTGAAATAGCCAGAAATACTTGTATGCCACGTCCTTCAGACGTAAGCCTGTGTCTTCCCCATCATTCAAGAAGGATCAACACACACACACCGCAGACTGGAATGCCTGCAGATTCCCTTAAGCTGTTGTAGGGGAAAGAAAGGTAGTGATGAACAGCGAGCTCAGCAATGTCTGCAGTTAAATGTTAGGTAGAAAACTGAGTGAACTGTTTTGCAGCATGATTAGCAAAAGGTGTTTAGTAAAATGAGCCTTGTTATATGGTTTCTGTTGAGTGTCGTGTGTCACTTGGTTTCTACACCTTTGTTGTTGCTTTGGTGAATTTTTAATTTATCACCTGTTCTTTACATGAGTACTAGAGATTAAGTAAATTTAGTCAAGCTAAAGCTATTTGGATTGACTAGCCTTACAACAAAGGAGTGTTATTAGTTCTTGAATGCTCAAGCTGCTGTTTCATAGTCTATTTTGACCTGCTGGATACCAAAATAAAGCATATTTAGAAGTCTAGTATGAAAGACCTATTCCAGGAGTCAGAGTGGTAGTCTTGTATCAGGGTGCTATGTGGTGCCTGACAGAGGGCATAACTATAATACTAAGTGACTGAACATAACTTCATAAAAACTGAAAAAGGTTTCTCATACACGCTATGTTTTAAAAGAATTGCATTTGATAGTCTGTCTTCCAACATGCAAGTATATGGAAATACCAGTTTCTCTTTATTGGCCCATGGCAAAGCCCTGGCAAGTGATTATTCCTCTAAGTACGCCTATGTAAGTTGAACTGCTGAGGATGTCAATACGCTCCCAGTCTTGCCCACAGCATTGTGTTGGGGTAGATGGTTGCATCATGTAGGAGGTAGGCAGTATCAAAGCATGGTGTATTCCCATGGAAGTAACCATTTTCCCTCTATTCCCCCTTTCCCAAAGTGTGTGGACTAGAGAATTCTTTGTATTTAGGTAATTTGTATATTATTATAAAATCTATGACAAAATCTGCTCGTTTGGTCTATGGTGATAAAAATGCCTTTTTTTTTTTTTTTTTTTTGCTTTGGGAAAAGTGGTGACTAAACCTTTGTGGAGTCCCATAACGATTCCTTTATTGGTAATCTTGTTAATAAACTTCATCACAAAGATTATCTTAAGAAAGATTTAAAATATATGATTAGAATGGGAATGATTTCTTTTTTTAAACAAGTATTTAATTTGGGGGGCTTCTCAAAAGCTAGTGATACAAGAGTAAAGTGGGAGGCAAGCTACCACTTGTTTAATAGATTGTAATTATAATAATTAATGTGTTTCTTTGCGTGGCATTATGATGTTTGTTTTTAAGCATTTCTGTTATGCCCAGAGAGAACATTTTAAGTTGATTAAAGCATTTGAAATTCTTGTTCTTGGAATCTAGAGAGTCTGTGAATGGCAACTAGGGGAAACAAATGGATTGCCAGCTAGCCTGGATTTTCTATCAGGGTCCACACCAGGAAATTTTTAAGGTTCTGAAAACTCACACGGGTTGAAAACTAGTAGCTTATGTTGGTCTTCATATGAACTGAGCTTCGACGAGGTGCTACGTGTTTATACCTGGTATTTACATGTTAAGAAATATAAACTTATGTTTGTACTAAAGTGAAGTATGGAAGATGACTGTGAAAACCAGAGCAAGTTTGATAAGTCTGGATCTGCCTACCTGTAAACATTCTCTCCAACCAGTCTTGCAGCTTGTTCAGCTAACCCAATTTCAAAACTAAATAACTATAATGCCTGATATGGGATGATAAGACTTGCTCTTGCAAGCTATATTCTCTCTTAAACAGTCTACATGGAAACAACAGAGCAGATTCTGATGAAAGGAAGCATTTTAGTTTTACGTCTTTGTCTGTACTTCAGACTGACTTCCTCAGGAAAGTGCTGATGAGTCAAGTGTGTCTCAGAGGTGTCGGAGTTCCTGGAAGATGTTAATAACCTTGTTGGAAGATGCTAAGAACCTTGTTTGGTCTGGCTTTTTATTTGGTCTGTTTCTTACTTCGCAACTTCTGAATTTTACCACTTGCACAGGCATAGTCTCATAGCAGTTCCTGCTCAGAGTGCACTTAACATGTTCATATAAGCAGAGATTTATAAAAGCACAACAGATCTTAACAAGAAAATGATTACTGTGTAATGAATTTCAGTAAAAGATTCATTAATGTACAAACCTATGGTTGACAGTCACTTGGGTACTCAGAGATTCTTTTTAAAAGAGTGTTTACTAATACTAGCCTGACTCACCACTTAGTACCTTCTGAGCTCAGAAGAACTACTGTTTTGTTTATATATTGTTTCCATTTTCAACTGACTTCCTTGAATTACTCTTATGTACAAAATTAACCAGAAATTATGCCAGCTGATGACTTTCTTAAATTACAGAAGTACATGATTTCCTGTTCTGCTGCGTATATATGTATTTTTGAAAGGAAAAAAAGAATATAAAAGGTGTTTATCTAATTTTAAATATAACTTTAAGTAGGACAGAGTACTTGAATTTTCTCTTACCTTCTTTTGTCCCTTCTTTTTGGTAAATGTTTGGTTTTTTTACCTGCTTTTACTTGCAGAAAAGACGGACCCAAGACCTAAAACCTAATACGAATTTCTCTGGAACTCAAAGTAGTTCTAGTCAGATTTAGATTTGAATGGACAAGGCTTTTGCTTTATTAACTCTCCAGATGTCATAATATAACAATGTCTGTGCCTTAGGTGTCAAAATCTTTGTTTTATTTCTTCTTTTTACTCCAGGATATTTCTTCTGGTGGGAGCTCCAAAAGCAAACACTACCCAACACAATATTGTAGAAGGAGGCCAGGTGCTCAAATGTAACTGGAATTCAAACAGAAACTGCCAGCCGATTGTATTTGACTCCACAGGTAACATGTAGTTCACTGTGAGGGGAGATGGGGTGTCTCTGCTCTAATCCTAGTGTGAGAGAGCAGAAGGGATTCAGATTCACGTGGGGTTTCTTGATGGTCGATGTGAATGCAGCTGTTCTTGGACTGGCAGCTAGTCAAGGCTTGGTGGTTTTGTTTTTTCCCTTTTCTTTTTTCTCTCCTCTCTTTTAGAATTCTGTTGACCTTGGTATGTGCTGAAAGCCTGAGTGAGCATGCATTATTCTTCTTTTGTTTTAACCTATTTATATTTCTCCTCTGTACTTTCCAGCAATCCTAAAACATTAGCAACCTAATTCCCAATAAACCCCAAGGGGTTTATTGCCTATTGAGAACATGGCATGTGAAGAAAGATACTTTTTAGCATCAGCAAAGGTGGTACAGGCAGAAACACTCAGAAGCTTAATCTGAAACTGGGAGTATAAGCTTCAAACTGTAGAAAAAATTTCATTTTTTTATTTTTTCCCTCAGATGTAGCTTTATAATATTTGTGACATTTATGATAGCAGCACTCGGGGTGCCTCAGGTCAGAGGCTTTACTTACTTGAGAAATGGGTATACTAAAGCTGAGCAGCAACAATGCTGGCATTAAACATTTCACTTGGTCTTCATGCTCTGGTACACATAGTGATTTCCCCAAGCTGTGGCAGGTCACGTGAGAACACACTGCACGTGCTATTCTGCTTTAGCCATTCAGTGTTGAATCCTGTTTTCCACAGCATGTTTCAGGCCAGTGGAAAAACCTTTCCATGTCATGGGAGTGGATTAGCAAGACCCATACGGTAGGGCAAGGGAAACACCTGTGCTTTTAAGGTCTAGTTGGTTATAATTTGTTTTTGCCTCTGCTGGTATTTTGACTTGGAAGTCTAAAGGCTATTAGATTTATGCAGCCTTTGTAAATCATGTACAATACAGTGCAGAAGCTCTTCTTCCAATTCCATTGTCAAGGTTTACCAGAAAATGTTGTTGGTGTTCAGATTTCTGAACTCCCCATATATTTTTCTGAAAACTATTATGTTACCAGTTCTCTTGCAAAAAAGAAAAAAAAAAAGTAGTATATAATGGTACGCACAAAATCCAAGTCATTATCAGTCTCTCTACTTCACTCTACAGGAATGTTTCTGCCAGATTACTTAAGACTTCTAGTAAACTGCAAAGTGTGACATTTTGTCTGCATCACTGTAAGACAGCAAAAAGTGGTTTTTTTTAAATTTTTTTTTTTTTTTTTTACTTTAGGCTTATTGTTTACTAGAACACAAATGTGTATTCTGTTTGTTTGGTGTTTTTTTTAAAGAAAGAATCTAGATGTCCCTAATTAATAATCACCACTAATATAATGGCCAAAAAACTTCTGGTACGGAAAGATGAGCCACGTGGGTAGGTTCTAGATGCATCTTCCAATGGGAATTGCAGTGCATTTATCTGTTTATACTGTGAACATTTGCAATAGGCTTTTCCATATGCCAGGCAGAGTAAATAGATACAGACGCTATGCTGCTTTGCTGTGTGTCTGTGCTTAAGGTATATGCTACTGGGCAAACAAACACTGTTTTGCTTATAATATGTCTTTAAGTAATGGGCATGTTAATCGCTTGAAATGTAACAGTAAAAATAGCAGGTCATAATGGCTTAAGAGGATTTCTTTCAGGCACACTTTAACTCATTCCAGCTTTGTGGCAATGAATTGGGAAATAATGCATTTGTCAATTATTCTCTGGGTGAAAAGGGGCATTGTATTTCAGCATAATAAAATAATAAATGCACTGGGACAAAATAAAATGTCTTTTTCTTTGTGCATAATACAATGGTTGATTCCCTATGTTATAATGATAATGTCTTACTGCCAACACAGTGTAAACCCTGACTCCTGCCTGTCCCTACCTCATAGGGTAACAGGGGTTAGGGAAGAGTTGTGGTTCATTTCTCAGGAAATAGGAAGCAGAAGATTTGACCATTGACTTGTGCTGATGCAAAGGTGCTTTTTGTAGATGACTAAATGCAATCTCTGCAAGAATTTAGGTTCATCCATCACTACTTCAACATTTGTATAATACGATTTGTAACTCCAGAGGTATTGCTTAGCCCTTGCAATACAAGGCAGATTTTTATTCCCTCCTGACCCCCCCCC